CGGTTTTGATTCCGAGGAGGCAAGTCAGTCATTAGTTTCTGTCCCTATCATCGACCCTCACATTTTGATGAAAATTCCAATGAAAGGGGTGGATGATCGTGCAAGAAAATAATGAAAGCGAGCAATGGCATGCAAAGTAGAGGCTAGTAGTATAAGACTTTTATAATGAATGTAGATATTAATAAGCTTAGTACTGGCGTGTTGCCTCTAGCGAACGCACACCTTCGAAACTGAAAGAGTTAATTTAACGTTGGCCGAAGAGTGATAAGAACCAACGCTCTTCGGAACTTGGTTTGGGCTACTGACGTCACTAAAATGAACCATACTCCGAACCGAAGAGGTGCTGATAAGAACAAGTCTGAGCAACGCACTCAAAACTCAAAGGGAGAGCTGAGCGCGAACATGATTCATTCGATTCGATTCTACCGGTAACAGGAAGGCCCCAGGTTTAGGGCTGAATTTGGGCTGAATCCATCAAAGTCGCGGTAGTGCAAAAGTCGCGATAGTCGCGTACCGCGACTTTAGAACGACTATTAAAGTCGCGATAGTCGCGCACCGTGACTTTAGAACGACTATTAAAGTCGCGATAGTCGCGCACCGCGACTTAACAACGACTTCTCCGTGTTATTTACTAGTTAAGCATCGCGACTTTAGAACGACTATAAAAGTCGCGATAGTCGCGCACAGCGACTATAGAACGACTATTAAAGTCGCGATAGTCGCGAACCGCGACTTAACAACGACTTTACCAGGACTATCGCGACTACGGCCACTTTGTAGAAGTTTGTATGTGGATCCTCGCTGAAACCTGTTGCCTTCCAGGACTGAAAGAAAACGGTCATTGTAAGGTCATTTAGTTAATCAATCGCATCAAAAATGCCTTAAGGGCTTTTGAGGCTTTCGGCATTCGGTGAACTTTGATAAGCTTTGTCATTGTCGAGTCGCAATGTCGACTCGGCACAGGACTGAGTCGAGTCACTCGACTCGACTCAATCGAATCGAATGATTCGATTCGATTCAAACATTCGATCTGTGCTCGTCGCGATTATGCCACTGAGGAGTGCAATGGGCTGAAAAGAGCATTCGCCAGGACCACCTGCTTCACATCATTGTAGCTTCAGTTTGTGCTTGATGGCAAGAATTTCTACGTCTAGAGCAGCATGGTAGACGGGGGATGGGACGGAGTGCAGAGAGGACAATTCTCTTCCAGCTTGGCCTTGCTTACACTCCCCTAGCAGAATACATTCCAAGAAACAGCCAGTGTACGGAAGTGGATCAAACTTTTCTAGGTAAAGCTGTGCGTTGTTGTTTCCATATCCCAGGTACTATCGGAGCTACTCGAGTAGCCTTCGTCCATGTCAGCGGTATGTCAGCTACAAAATACCGTACGTCAGCTACAAAATACTGTACGGTAGCACGTACCTTGCTCGAGAACCGCTACCAGGTACCAGGACCAGTCTACAGGAAGATTCGTTCGATTCGATTCAATTCGATTCAATTCATCAGGGTTGGCTATCGCGCGTGACTTAGATAGTCTCCAGACTGCTCAGACGCATGGTAAAATTCTTCGCTGGCAGAGGGCGGACAAGGTTGCTAGTGTACTGGTACCGGTACCTCAATTATATGAGATATTTTTTGGTGGCACCGCTACTGTAACGCTGTCCTTGCCCTTCTTCAAAATCCTATCTTCTCAACCAGTACCTATTGTTGATCAGATCTCAAGGTAAGCAAATCTTAATTTCTGTGACGCTGCAGTAAATAGCCATTGATGCACTCTTTTGCTTTGGCCCCTGAAGGCCTAACGTATTGGAGGCAGGACTTGCAGTTAGCAGCAATTCTTGGCCTGCCACGGGAAATTTCTCTGACTAATCCTATGCATACTTGTTGCAATTGAAACATCATTGGAGGATGATAAATTATAGCACCAATCATCTCGCACATTTGGGGGCTCAGGCAAATAATCAGAAAGCATTGGACGGACATTATTGGACGTCAACAACTCACATCCCATTTTCGGTTCTTAGTCAGATTCGATTCAAGGGAAAATTGTGTTGATGTACCATCCAAAAATGTGTGAATGACATGAAATTTACAAGACTGGTTGGATTGGAGGCGTCTCACAATTTAATGAGCAATGAGCAATGAGCTCAAATGTTTTACTGAGTATTATATTTTGGTGAATTGATTCATTCTTGTTTACTGATGCGTGTTACTTATGAATGTATGCAAACACTTAACACTCGACACTGTACCGCCCACTGATGAACTAGTTTTCAAGATACAAACGTCTGGAGACTGGGCTCAGACTACCGCTAGATTGAGACATTATCATCTTGAAGGAGAGTTGTCATACTATTCCTCTACTCAAAGTCTGAAGCTGGTGGTTTCAAAGTGTCTATTATTAATCAAGCATACGACTGTACGGTAGACTACAAAACATAAAGGATACTTGAAGCTAAAAACGGTACTCTAAGATGGTCGAAGCAAAAATTATAACCTGGCAACTTTCAAGAAAGCCCAAGGTTCAAATAAATCTTCTTTGTGAAGGAGCACTTCAAAGTTATTACACTTTAGCGCATAGTAAATGATTCTAATCTTGCACTCGAGACTCAAAAGTGGACCGGTCTCCGAGAGCTTCTCCCATGTCCCATGACGCAAGGTTCAATGAACCAGTGCAAAGAAGCAGAGAGGCGTGACAATAAAGCCCTAGTTATCTTTCTCGACACAGCGGCACAGCGCCACATCGGTACAAGCACAGATCGAAGCGCCTCCTATCAACACCACCGAGTATAGCAGCCACATCGATACTAGTACGATGCCGGAGTTCCAGAGAGAGAATTCCCTGGGGGTTGGCGACCTTCGGGCACTGGCCTATGATTTGGATATGCAGTCTAAACATGATTCTCGACAAGCTAGCATCGGTCAAGAGATGGAGTATGTGCCTCCTCCCACCGGTCTCTACTCTTCTAGGAGCCGGGGTCTTGTTCGCGAGAATAGGCCTCGTCGCCATGGGGCTGGCCGTGCCCGATCTTCTGGCAGATCTGCGGCTCCATCGGCCAATTCTGGACACAGCGTCATGAGCGTCATGACGACGTCCACCGCTTACACGAACCCTTCCACGCATAGCGTTGACAGCCAGGCTGCGGCAGACCTTGGGGCCAGTGCCTCCAGTTTCTACGAAAGCTTTGACGACAACTACAGCGTCGTGAGCAACACCAGCGCTCCCGTGACGAGTAGCAGAACAGTTAGCAGCAGCAACGGCTACAATAATAACAACAACAACAACAACAACAACAATAGCTACAGTGGCTACAGCAACAACGAGACCTTTATGGGCGGTGGATCAGGAATAGAGATTGGAAACCCACAAGCCATCATGCCTAGTCTTCGACGTGCTCAAACTGCGACAGGTGCTCCTCCTAGCCTTCGAAGGGCTCACACGACAGCCGGTTCCACCAATCGGCGCGGTCTGGCTGGGAAGCGAGGCATTCGTCCTGGCGCTGGTCCTGGTTTGCGCCGGAGTGGTACCGATGAGAAAGTCAATCGTCCAGGCGAGAAAGTCAATCGTAAAGGCCCAGCCTTGCACCGTGCTTCCACGGGCGAAATGCCCGGGAGCCCTCGGGCGGCCCCTGGTGCTCGCCCGAGAAGCCCCGTCGCTGGTTCTCGCGGGAGAAGCCCTGTCCCTGATCTGCAAGTCAGCAACCATGCCCCCCCATTGAAACGCCCGGTGGTAGACATTGGTGACTTGGAAGTGGATCCATTCAATCCTCACGTCTTGCGCGGAAGTAGCGTCAGCCCTGTTCCAGAGCATAAAAGCGGCTTTGCCATTGATGATGATATCCCTGCTGCCCCGGCAATGAGTACCAGGCAGACCCGGCGCAAACACCAGCAGTCTGATTTAGCGCAAAAGTCAAAATTGGAGCCCAAAGATCAGGAACGCATGCTTGGAGCAAGCTACGGAAGTATCAACGACAATTCGGACCATTCCAGGAAGTCAGCTTCCAGCGTCCCTAGTACCCGAAATCGGCACCGCAGGATGCAATCTGACCAGCCTCAGCTTGCTCGCTCCACAACCGTCAGCGCCGCTACTTCCAATCGGCACCACAGGGGGAAGTCCGACCAGCCTTCGTTGTCTCGGTCTTCCACTACCGGAGGATCATCCGCCCCATACCAACGGGCTAGAACGACCGACCCGCAATTCACGAGGCGAACTACAAGCAACGAAAGCTCAAACACTACCAGTTCCGTTCCTCCTCCCCCCACGCCGCTTGCTTATCGTGCTACCAAGGGACTCTCCAACGCAGCCCCCGCCGAAATGACTCGATTGGCACCCGCCGTCCTGTCAGCGAGCCACACTGGCGGAGCAAATCGGGACAGTAACAATGACAGCTATCTGAGCAGCTCTGTCATTTCTTGCCCGACCACCTTTATGCGATCAAGCACAAGCGATGAAGTAGTGGCACCCCCGACGACGGCTCCTTTGGCCTATCGCGCTACAAAGGGTCTCTCCGCTCAGCCCAATCCATCTCAAATGACCCGCGTCGAGCCTCTCAAGGGATACGGTCTCGCCCCAGGCAGCAATCACAGTGATCGAAGCAGTCGTAGTCGTAGTCGCAGCCCACGGCCCCTCCCATCTAACAAACGCCAACAGCCACAGCAATTCGATCTTATCGAAGATGACGCTGACGAAGTACAGGATACCTTTGTGCATCACACGCAATTGCAAATGACCTTTGTGGGGGGCATGCCCGGCGCCCTTGGGGGCACTCAAGACACCCCAGCAGTGGAAACCCAACCCTGCCCCACGGATCAACATGGCTTGGGTGGCGGTACCGATCGAAACGATGGGTGGCGAGAAAAGTTTGGACTTTCCGAAGTCACGGATGATGTCACGTTGGTTGCCATTGCGGGGAACGGAGACCAGCAAAATCTGATGGAATCCCACCGTGACGACAACCCAGCAGCGGAGTCCCGACCTGGTGCCACGGCTCAACCTGGTTTGAGTGGCGGTGCTGGTCGAAACGATGTGCGACGAGAAAAGTTTGGACTTTCCGAACCCACAGATATCACGTTGGTTGCCAGTGCGGGGAAAGGAAGCAAGCATGATCTGAAGGAAGAATCCCAGCATGCCCCGAGCAATGAACTTGAAACAACCCAACATTCTAGTGCCTCAACTCAACCTTCTACAGCGATGCAGGTTGGGGCGTACCGTGTAAGCCAGCCCCGCAGTACCAATCAGCAACGTCCGGGGGCTCCCTTGCCTGCGGAAGTCTCCAGTGCTGAACCCTCGCCAGCAGAAAATATGCTGAGACCACCGGAAGATAGTGTTTTGGCTGTTCTGGACGCCGACAGAAAGAAGATGAAGAAGATGAGCACCTCAACGAAGGCTGGGGTCCTCGGGGCATTGTTGGTGATTGTAATTGTCATTATTGTCATAGCGGTGACAGCAGGCGGTAAGGGCGACACGCCAGCTTCCGAGCAAGGCTCCGACGGCGGCGATGAAATGACGGATCTGGTTCTATCGACCAGAGCACCCGTTACAGATATCGAAACGCATATTTTGAATCTGCTTCCCGAGGAAACAGCCAAGGAGATTGCTCTTTCCCAGCTAGAAGTAACTGGAAACGAAACAGTGGCCCCCTCGCCGCCATCGCATTCGGTGGAAGCGTTCAATTGGATGCTGGAAGACCCATCCTTGATCAAGTATTCGGATGTTCGTCTGCTGCAACGATTTTCCCTGGCAACTCTCTACTTTGCGACTAATGGTGCGGCTTGGGCAAGCAGTGGCCACTGGCTTTCCTTTGATCATCATGAATGCAAGTGGAGTGAACGAGAGATTGAGTGCGATGGTCTGGAAGGCGACGAAGACAACTATGCTGATGGTTTGATCACAGCCGTGAAGCTTGCAAGAAGCAGGCTGGAAGGATACCTTCCCATGGAACTTTCCCTGTTGACCAATGTTGGGTTCGTGGATTTGTCAGAGAACAAGCTCAAAGGGTCCATCCCTTCCACCATTGGAACCATGATGAACTTGACGAAGTTTGTTCTGGATGAAAACCAACTTTCAGGTCCGATCCCAAGCCAGCTGGGTCTTCTGACCAGGCTCACACAGTTCTCGGCCCAGGAGAATGCCCTGAATGGTACTTTGGCAGCTGAACTCGGCAACATGATAGACCTTTCTGAACTTGTTTTGTCAGTGAATAAGATCAGTGGGGTGTTGCCTCCATCGATTGGTGCGCTTACAAAGTTAAAACGCCTATACGTGGACCAGAATCTTCTTGTCGGATCACTTCCCGAAGAAATGGGCAGTCTCGCAGAGCTGCGAGATTTGTTTCTGGATCGAAATCAACTGGGGAGCACCATACCTTCTTCTATTGGGCAGCTGAAATCCTTGAACCGTTTGTCATTGCACTCAAATGCATTGAGTGGATCAATTCCAACGCAAGTTGGAGCTTTCCCCGAGCTGGTGGTTCTGGCAATGGAGAACAACACGCTTGGAGGGCGTATCCCCACCGAGCTCAGTACCATGGGCACATCGTTGCGAACTATCACTTTGTTTGCCAATATGTTGACGGGCCCTATCCCAGATTTGTCTGCCTTTTCATCTCTGTCAGACCTCAAATTGAACATGAACAAGCTCACTTCAACACTACCAACGAGTCTGCAACCAGCGATCAGGCATCTTTCCTTGGATCAGAACTTGCTAACAGGAACTCTCCACACTGAACTTGGTCTGCTTTCGAATTTGAACGAATTATGGATGTTCCAGAACAGACTCACTGGAACCGTTCCAAGTGAACTGGGTTTGTGCTCAAAGTTGGATCGGCTGAACGTGGACCAGAACTCTTTGGTGGGGTCGTTACCTGATGAGATCAACAACTTGGTCATGTTGAAAGAGTTCAACATATCCAACACCCAAATTTCTGGGGTGTTTCCGGATGCTTTCTGTGACATCCAGTTCAACGATTTCACTTGCAGCTCAACGATGTGTGGTTGTGGCGACAGGTGTCCTTGTGAAGGCTAAAATTTCATCATCCATTGATATCCTTTTCCACAGTTAGCTAGGACATATGATATGATTTAGTAATTTGTAGAATTGCTTTTCACGACAAATGCAAGCAGAGCTGAGGAGCTACTGGTACGACTGTACAGCGCGATGATGCCGCAAAGCCATAATTTACGCAGTCGATTTGCTGCTTTGTGCTAGAGTATTGATCGAGCTACTGGAACACACCTTCCGACGGTAAAAGTAGACTACTGTACAAATTGCGACTTTTCACATGCAAGATCGTTTCTACTACGACTAAGTTAATGTTGACGGTTGTACGGCAATCTTTCATGGTTCGCCAGGAGTGACAGTCCGTCTCCTTGAGATGAATCGAATCGAATCGGACTTTTGCGTGTTCTCGAGATGAGTCTCGTTCCGTTCAAATCACATCACCACAGCTCACCACTCAAGCAGCTTTCTCTCGAGCATCACGGGCCGCGCGCCACTTCGGGTCTGCACGAGTGGCATGGCAATGACCTTTCTGCCCATCATGAGCGCTGTCCCAGTGCTGGCACTGGTCGGCGGGTAGATCACAAACGTAACAATAGCATTTGCTGCAGTGGCTGGAATGTTTTCCAACAACGAATTTTTCTACTACGCAGTCTTCGCGCAGGTGTGGATAGTCCACGAGTGCGTTGGTTCCTATGGTGCCGACCAGACAGATTTCATCGTCCTCACTTGAATTTGGCTGACCTGTCGTCTTGGCCGCTTTCTTGATGCGTCGCTTCTTCGACGGGTTTTCAATGATCTGGACATCACTCTCGAAACCGTCGTCATGGGGATTGGAAACTCCCAGAAACTGGACGTCAGAGTCCTCATCAGATGTACGCGTATCGTCGTTTTCTTTATTGCTTTCCTCCATCACTTGTAACTCGTCTTCGCGAATGGAACGTCGGCTCGCAGATTTTGAACGAATCGTCGGACCACCAAGACGCGATGGCGTCTTCCGCTTCGAACACATCACCCAAGCAAGACCATTCCATTTTTTGAGACGGCCACAACCCTTGACTTTGCCTTGACGCTCGCGATGCCGTTGAGCCTTCTTCGCAACTTGACCGTTCGAAGTACTGTCGCTTGTTTTGTTTGGATTGGAGCTGACTCGGCCAAGCTTCTGCAAGCGCAAAGATCGTCGTCGTCTTGGAGGGTTCGAAGGTCGCGGGGTGTCCACAAGAGACGAGGAGGAAGAAGGCGCCATCGTTGGTGAGAGGAAACTGTTGTCTTTGGTGCTGACTGATGATGAATGAATAATTCGACCCGGAAAGATTGAACGTTGGAAAACAGCCGTTTCTTTTTGAAAGCAAATGCAGAAGTCAAAAGGATCATACGATTTTAGCAAAAAGTTTTACAGTAGTCTACAGACTCACAAACTGCCAAATCCCTAAAACACGGCTTTCACCCTTTTCGGTTGTTTGACTTTTTCACCCCCCACGGGAATCATCATTGCTTGTGCTAGTGGGGTACTTATGAAATCGTGGTTTATGTGGGCATGCTCGGTAGATGTCGTTGCAGGATGGATCAGCTTTTCTGACGATTCTCTGAATCTTTTCAGTATCTCGAGTTGCTCCCTGTTGCATAGGCTGCAGTGTCGTGTCCCGAAGGTCTTGACAGTGCCTATTGGGTTGCCTTGCCATGGGATGCTCAAGTCAAAGGATGCTCTTCCACACTTGCCTCCAAGAACGATAACCTGGGTAGAACTTCTACTTCACCAATGACACAGTTCTGCCGTAGCTATCAGTACGATAATTTGCTCCAGATTGAGAGGAATTTGATTGCTTGGCTCTTATTATTGCTGCAGTATTTACAATATTTTACGGTATCAACAAAAACTAAAAACCTGTGGGAATGGCACCTTGCTTTCTTCTTCGTAGTCCCAGCTAGATTCCGGGGGTAGCTTTTTGTTTCAGTTTCTTTGCGAAGAGGCCCTGTTTCTCGCCTTGGATCTCCGCCATTATATCTTCTTCATCACCTTGGGACCTTTTGCTTCGTGGATCCCACAGATCAGTCCACATTTGTGGCTCCCTTGCCATCCATCTCTTGTACTTTGAGGCACGTTCGGGAAGTGTCGGTGCCTTGTTCCTCACTGCGACGTCTTCTGCACTGGACTTGCGGAGGAGATCTAGCGCATTACCAGTTGTGTTCTTTTCTCTCTGAAACTCTTCCTTTTCTTTGGCGGATTTATCCCACGGTTTGCTTCGTCCTTCAAGCATTAGCAAGATGCGTTCCATGGATTTGGAGAGTTGCTCGGCTGTACCACGTTTATCAGGACGAGCTTGCCAAGCCTGTTCAACAACACCCTTGACAACTCTGGGATAGTGGTACTTTTGAATGTTGGGTCGTAATTTACCCGCCACAACACGATGCCAATCGCGGGTGAGTTGTCGAGATGAGTAGGGTCGATTTTCTGTCAAGAGCTCCGTAAAGATCATGGCCCACGAGTATATGTCTGCTTGTGTGTCATAGCCTTCTTGTTTTGCCCCTTTGATCCCTCCAAACAGCTCGGGTGCAATGTATCTCCTTGCCATAACGGTTGTTCTGACTCCAAAAACATTGCCATCGTGGTGAGTGTTGGTTGACCCTGACGACTTGTCCTCTGTATGATGATGATCCATCATGGAGTCTGCTGCTCGTGGTGGCAATGACCGGGCTTCGTCATTTGTCGTGGATTCATCGTCTTCCACCGCTGCGAATCTCGAAGGGTTCCAAGTGGCATGGCCGAGTGCACTCATAAACGTGGAATCGGAAGCTGGTACCTTGTCTCCATCTGTTTGTTTTTCTGAATTTTCAGTGTCGTCTGGTCGCTGCGAATCTTCGTCCGACGTTGTTGTATCTGGCGCTAGGCTGTGGAGTGAGAATTGCCGTTCTGCTGTCAGAAAAGAGGGTCTCATGTTTTTTCGGCGTTCGTTTCCGCTTCCGGTGCCACCTAATGATTCCTTCTTGTTGTTGTTGTTTGGTTTTGGAGGATCTCTTTGTAGTGCTTTTGTGGCAGAACTCTCTTCAGTCCTCAAGCGTCGCTGCGAACCGTGCTCATCCGTAGACATCATGGAGACGTCTTGCATCATGAGATCTTCAACATTCAGACTCGACCGGAGGGACGTGTCGGAGGATTGTTTGTTGCTGCTTGTGAGTAGTACTATTCGCTGTGGTGACGATTCTTCTTCGGTAACGGTTTTAAGATGCCGTGCTGCAGTAGACATGGATGCCAGCGAAGAACCGTCGACGCTCTGTCCAACAGACGCGCTGTCGTCCAGTCCTCGGCTGTATTGGCCGCCACCAATGGTCGTGATTGTAAAATCAGCCGTCTGAATGGGATTATGAATAATTTCAAATCCCTCCATGTGGTTGTCGTCTTCGGCCACGGGCGACAAGCACCGGGAAGACTCATTGGTGGCATGTGACACATCGGGCATGATGAGCGTTCTCATATTGGGCCGCAACGCCGATTGCCAATCTGGTTCGGGAGGAATGCTGGTTTGTTCTTTTGGAATTTCCCGACAACTCGTCAAATCAATGAGTTGTACGGTATGATGATGTGGATAGGCACAGAATCCAATGGCTTCCGGTCTCAATTCTCGCACAACAATGCGTCGTTCGTGCAAATAGGACAGTGCATGGAGTATCTGCAAGGCATAATTTGTTTTGAGGACAATGACGTCTTCTGGATACGTGCGTATGGACTTGTCTCGTAGAATGGTTTGCGCCGAACTCTCTCCCGTTTTGGGAACCAGAGGAGCTGGGTACTTGGCCCGATTTCGTCTCCGTCGTTCCATTTTTTCCAAAGCAGTGGCCCACTTTTTCCAAGTTTCCAATCGTTGGGGGAGTGTTTCTCCCAATCGATCTGTCAAGAAAAAGAAATTTTCGGGTTGTTCGTGCTGTAAGGAGGAGAGTCCACCGGAATTGACGCCCCGCAATTTGATAATATTGAGATGTGACAGATGTGCCAAATAGAGTCCTTCTGTCATCATTTTGGTGGCCGCTCGTTCTAATGCCACTTCATCTTCGTCCGACTGTCCAATGACGGTTTGATGAATGAATTTGATTCGATACGGATGTTTCCGTGATTGTGGATTGCTGCGTTGTCTGGAAAAGACGGCTTCGTGTGTTTGATAGAACTCTCCGTCTTCGAGGACTTTATTCAGATTGAAATCAAAGTCTTGTAATCGATACACTTGCGTGGGCATGAGTTGGTTCAGGCGGGAACTCAGAAATGGCGCCGTTTCGGGTGAAAGCACCGCTTTGAGGCGGGCCTGAGGATCGTTGAAAAAGGAACGAGTACGACGGGCGGAAAGAGCGGCTCGTCGCATTTGTTCGCCATGGGCACCGGCACTGCGAGACGAATTTCGCAGTCGATTGCGGGAGGCATCCACCTTGTTCGATAACTTGGTCATCACACGGGCGAGGGTCGCCATCCCCGCCAGCGACGATCGTTTTCGTTCGTCCGTGTTCATTCGTTTGATCGATGTGGATGCGGATGGTGCTGATGATTGTTGTTTGGTGGCTGGAGCTGCTTCCGGATCAGTGCTGCTACTGGAGGGCGTCTGTGTCCTGTGATAAGGAGACGACATCCCTTTGAACGTCAATGATCCGGGCTCTGGACCTTGGGCAGCTAGTGAGACCACCATCTTGGGCAGTACTAGTATGGGACTACTAGAATGCTAGCTTCGATACACGCAATAATAATGTAGTCTTCCTTTGATAATACAGCTTGGGAGCTCCCAATGCGGAGCAATTGTCTTGTCTTTTTTGTGGAGTGCTGGTACCGCCGGTTAGCGGTCCAAAACTTCGATTTTTTTCCAAAGAGGCAAAGAAGTGCACTTGCTCCCGCACGTCCCTGTCGGGGAATCATCCATAATAATTCAAATGAATCAGTTTTTTAGAACTAACACTAAACCACACACTATGTTCACCTGTTGAGCTTGTGTTGTTAACACCGCTTTCTTCCCAGACATAGAGTCGCGGTCTCCTTCAACCAAAATGGAAGAACACAAGTCAACGCTGATTTTTCCTGTTTATTTTGTGACGACATCATCGGGCATGCAAGGGCAACGTCACAGCTGACCGCGTACTCGGAGAAAAAACTCTCTAGAGTAAGAAAACAGTCGGTGGAGCGACAAAAAGAGAGGTGGTGTTGCTATTCTCCGCATCCATGCCAGAGGCACCCAATGACAGTGTACTGGGACTCTAGCTGGCTACCGGTATCCAGAATAGAAGAGACACTGCCTTTACCCAATAAGCAAAAGATCAGAAAACTAGCTGGAGCAAGGTGCTGACAAGGATAGATGTGTTGTTGCTACATTTAGGGTGGCTGGACACGCCAATTCTCAGCGCCCAAGCACACAACTACATTTAATCAGCCAGGGCTGCCAGTCCACTCTAGCAAAGCACACTTGACAGCAGCAGCCCTGAGCCCGAGCAATTTGCACTCCAGTTACCAAGCCACTCCAGAGGCATTGGAATTCTCTACGGTGTATACAAAGCCAGCAGACGATGTCGCTGTGTTTCTTTTTATCTACCGTACCTAAGGTACCTCGAGGCAACAGAACACGAGGAGGCAAGCATGAGGAAGAGTTTACTTCATTCGTGCATGTTTGAGTCTACTGGGGTATGGGAAAATGTTTGGAATGTGAATTTTCAGACTCATCAGGTGCGCAGTTGCCCCATACCCCGATAACTGTGGTACCGGTTTCCAACTGTGAATGCCGAGCATGTGAAGTGGCTAGTGGGGCAGAACTTGCACGCATCCAACAAGCACACAAATGCCAACAACAACCAAGCACTCTACAAGGAAACTAAAAGAAAACAAGTTTAGTTCTACCCATAAAACTAATCTAGTAGCAAGCATAATGAGCTTCACAATTCGTAGTACCAAGAAAGCCAAGCAGATTCTGTCCGGTGTCAACCAGCAACATGAACCTGTGAAACGAATGGTGGCAATGGCGCGGGCTGCTGCCTTGAACCTTGGTGGTGAATTCCAAAAGTTTGGCCAATCAGCCAGGAAGGGCTTGACTCCAACCAGTCTATTCATAGTTGCAACGGATCAAGTCCGAAACACAACGCGGGAAAGACCAAGCCTTAGGGATCTTCTGCGTCAAGCAACAACAGGCAAAATGATTGCTCAGAACCCACAATGTGAGGAGGAAGAGGTCATTCTGTTTCACGAGCAGCAACAGTTGATGATCGATCCAGAGATTCTCCTGTTCCAATACACTGGTACGACTAGTGCAGCAGAATCCGTATCAAATCTTGCACCAGTGCAATTGCCAGAGCCCGTGGAGGTGATGGTGGCAGTATTTCGACAGCGCCTGGTAGATCAACAGAAACGACCAGGACACGGCACAAGGCGCCAGCGCCAGCTCCGGCGATCACTTATCAGCACTGAAGAGATCAAGCGACGCAGGGCCATTGAGCGCAAATTGAGCTTGATTCGAAAAGGGCGCTTTGCTCCACCCATCAATGCTACAAGGATTGCTCCGGTTGCTACTGCCTGCTAGTAGCTATTTGATAAGCACCATTAGAAAGAAGAGATGATGTTAGCATTTCATACAAATCCTCTGTTTCCTACCGTACTCTATAGACTACATACATGTAACAAGTATGCATACATGAGTAATGGGTTCCCACAGAGGGATAGTTTAACGTCATTATTTCGGGCTTGAATGATTCTTTCTTGGCTTCTGGGGCTTCTTATTCGCCAAGTGCCCCCAGAACAAAACGTTCTAGCATTCTTCGGAAAGGTACAATAAATCTTTGAAGATCATTTTCTCCAAAAGAAGGATGAGCGGTGCGTTGGGGTGCCGTTGGGAAGTTGGGACTCTTGGTCGCAACCTTCTCACGTTTCTCTGGAACTGGGAACTGGGAACCACAGCTGAGCTAGATCTACTAGATAGTCTAGTCGATCTGTTGCAGTCGCAATGTTGCAGTGTTGCAGTAAACTCTCCCAGAGGGAGGGAGATAGAAGATTAGATGGCAACTTCAAAACCTAAACCAGCACCTTCTACATGTACCGGTACCAACTTCCTCTACAGTGTACATTACGACAATCAGTGCACTGAACAAACAGAGAAGCCACCCGTTTTATGCCATTTGCTGGACCAGATATGCCACTTTTGCCGGGCGCAGTTTCACCTTATAGAGGCCGAACTGGCCGAATCATTCAAAGAGGCTGCATCCGCCCTTTATTATTTGCGTTCACCAGAGGCAATCCGTCAGCCTCGACACAGCCAAACCAACTCAAGGGAACTTTGACTGGCACAAACAGGCGTCGATTGCTTCTAATCAAAAATAGAGAACGTACTTGATTTGGCAAAACTTGTTACAGTGGTACCTTTTGGTTGAATGGTGCATAATAAAAAGAAGTGGGTGCAATGGGAGGGTGGCTATGAATAAGTGAGTTATTAATAACCTATTATTAATAGTAGGTACTGGTACGTCACCGGACCAGTACGGTAGCCTCTAAAAGAGTACCGGTACATGTACTGGTATTGCATGGAGAATTGTTGACTTTTCAAGCCGGTGGGCACTTAGTTAGAAGTAGCTGATTTCTTAAAACGGCGGTGATTCATTCTCTCACGTCTCAATTTGGATCTTTTTCTTTCGATGTTCGATCTTCCCATCTTCGAGAGGACGATCATCAATCAGCCAAGTACCACAGCTGTATCAGGTAGAGCGGTAATAGAAGCCAACAAAGGCAGCAGCCGATATGACCAGCCCCTGTTGCCCTCCCGATGCGTTGCCTGCATTGAAGTTCGATTACAAGCCCAAGGGAGAGCATTTTGAGCTTCCAGGCGTCGCTTCGCGATCGTCTAGCTGCAAACTCTATGTAGTTGGAGCTTCGCCATCAGACGACACTTGGAAGGACAGAGGGCCTGTCCTCGTTATGTCGAGCGATATATTTGGTCCGTTCAGCGGGATGCATTGCAAGCTGGCTGACGAATTTGCTTCCCGGACGGGTGGTATCGCTTTGTTGCCCGATCCCTTTGAAGGCACTGGAGGGTTGGTGCCGCGCTACGGCGAAGAAGAGGATAAACCGAATCGATTGGGCTTCAATATATTCACTTGGAATCTCGTGACTGGCTTTCTCTGGAACGCAAAGTCCTTCATCCAGCGCTATCCATGGGACGGGAATCTACAATATCTTTGTAAAGATCAGCTGATTCCATATCTTCAGTCGAAAGGAGTGGAGAAGTTTGCCATGATGGGATTCTGCTTTGGTTCATGGATGATTCTGAAGGCGTGCAACGATGATGCCATCGCAGAGCATGTCACGTGTGGTATCCATTTTCACCCTGCATCAGAGCTAATGGAAAAGAACCATTTTGGAGGCGACGACGTTGGGCTTTGTCGGACTTGCAAAGGCCCTCAGTTGATCCATGCCACCAAGAATGAATCGGCAAATTGGAAACCAGATGGAGCAGCCCACAAGGCTCTCGAGGAGAATGAGAATGTCCAGGAGGTCCAATTCACACTGGCTCGGAATACCCAATCCCATGGCTTCATGACTCGTGTTGACACAAACATTGAAGACAATCGATCGGCGATAAAGGAAGGCGTCGACTGTGCCATGGGGTTTCTAGAGAAGTACAACACCAAGTCTTCTTGAGAAATTTAGACAACATGGTTCACCGATGCGATATGATGATAGAGAGTGTCACAACAACCAAGGAAACCATGGCAAAAAAAAGCAGGCTCGTCACTTCTAATTAAAAGTGATCTTGGGCACGCCCTTACTATATTGCTTCCAGGATTGAAAGGAGAGCTCGCTAGCAGCTTTGAGTGCATGCAAATGAGTGTACTTCTGGGCATCCCCGGAAGCTGTGTTGACCAGGCAAGTTAGCAGCCCGACTTGACCCTTCCTCGCAGTGCGACCAACCTGGTGGATAAAGGCACTGTTAGTGGTTGGAACTGTATGTAGAATCACATGGCGAATGTTGGGGATATCCAGTCCACGAGCCGCAACGTCTGTGCAAATTAGAATGGTAGTAGATTGTGCGGGCTGATTGGCATCGTGTCGCAGCTTTGTCATGAGACTATGAATCTCCGATCGGTCCAGCTGTTCATGGACAAGCGCAAAAGTATTCGTATCATCAGCATTGTCGTCGTCCAGATCGGCTTCCACCACCAGTGCGTCAAACACTTCCTGTGCTTGTTCCACAGTTCCACAAAAGATCATTGTTGACCCTTGAGAAAGCCAGTCGTCGCGTTTTGCATCGTCCAGGACATCCACCAGTTTTTCCAATCGATTACCCGAAAAATACTTGAACTTTTGCCGAAGTGTAGGAACTAGCACTTGTGTTTGGGTCGATGTCACTCCCTGTTCCCGCAACACTTCGACGTCTGGCAAGTGTTGCTCCAACAATGCCATTTGGTGCGCCCTCGACAAGAAGGCGCTGGTACCCAAGACGCGGCTTTTGGGAGCGAGTTTTTCAATGACATATTGACCGATGGAAGTAAGCTCCGTTTCTTCATCCATTTTGCTTTCTCCGTAGAGAACAGCATCAATCTCATCCACTGCGATGACGTCAAAGTCGTCTTCTCCATCATCATCATTCAAGAATGGACTGGAAAGACTGCGAAACTGAATTCGATCCAGGATAGTATTGGAAGATCCCAAGAGGGCAGCTGCAACAGCTTGATGCTGTTCTATCAACAGATTGGTAGGTGCCACCACCAATGCTTTGGCATTGGCATTATTTTGCAAGGTTTGTATGATGGGTAGCAGAAAGGTCAATGTCTTGCCAGATCCAGTTTGCGCACAGACAATGATGGCATTGTGCTCTGTAGCAAAGAACGTTTTGAGAGCTTGATCTTGAACCTCATTAGGCTCGACAACAGAGAGTTTGTCTTGGAGGCTCTCTACAATGTCATTGTCGAGAAACTCATGGAAACTGTTTTGCAAGACACTTCCTTTCGCGCGTCGGTGGCAGGTCGGCCGAAAGGCGTCAACCGACGGCACTACGAGGGCGAAGAAGAAGCCAAAGTATCTCATTTCTCTTTCCTTGCATTATGGACAGTGTGCTACGCCATAGGAGTGTGTTGAACCGGTGGTTGATCTGGGGTTTGGTGGCCTTTGCAGGTTTGGGTATAGGGAAGAAAGTAAGTGATCTGTTGTTGAGTGAGTGTGAGGGTTTGAGGTTTGAGAAAGATCAAAGCGAAATTGCCCTCAACGGACTGAGGGTCTTTCACACTTTGCCCTCAACGGACTGAGGGTCTTTCACACTTTTATCGCTGTATGTGTGTGTGTGTGTGTGTGTGTGTGTGTGTGTGTAGGTGTGTGTACGTTGAGTGTTGTGTGAGATGTGTGATGTTGTGTGAGATGTGTGTAGACACTACTAAGAGTTAATCTACGACGAATCTACCATTGGATGTTTATCCATGGGGTATACCGTTGCTTGCTGATTTCCAAATTCTGAGCTTAGGAATTTCGCTGTTTGCTTCATCAGTGGAGCAAGCTGGGGATGGCAAAAGATACAAGCCGGGTAGGCTGTGAGAAAAGCAAGGGTACCCTGTTTGTGGTGATTTCGAAAATAGACACATAGGAGCTGGTACGGTATAGACCGAAACCAAGCTAAACTAAACCGTAAACCTCGATGGGCTGGATGTGTGTGTGTGTGGGTGTGTGGGTGTGTGTGTGTGGGTGTGTGTGCCATGGCTCCCCGACAGGCCTCTAATCCAAAAAGGATGAGACGGGGGAGCCATCTAGTTCTGGAACCTTCCTGTAGGACAGTAGGTTGCCAAGATTGGGGGGCCTGGAGTAGGCTACAATCATCCTATCCAGTCCCATTGGCATGTTGCCTCGCATAGTGGCCCACTGTGTGTGGGATCCGGACATGCTTGAAGGGCATCAGGTTCGTGGGATTGGCAATGCAATCCCTCCAGCCTTGCTGGAAGACTTTGATGGGGGATCCTTGGGTGGTATTCCAGGTGCAGCAGCTGGATTCCCATGGTCCCTCTTGTTGTTGTTGGGCTGGGGGCCAGTGTAGGCCCTTGCCCTGGTGATTGCTGCTTCAAAGAGGGGCCTAAGTGTGGTGGCTGGGTAGCCCCTGGCCAGGAGCCTCTTGAAGAAGAGCTTGGTCCTGGCGAGCTGTCAGTCTCCTCAGAGCAGAGTGTATAGATCCTAAAGAGGTTGCCAACACCACTCCAGACAGGAGGCCTGGGGGTGACAGGAGTGGGATGGATGTAGAGATACAAGTGGTTGGTTTCTCATACAGTGTGGTGACCAGTTTGTTTTCATGTGTGAGGGTGATTGTCATGTCCATGAAATCCACCTGACTGAGAGTTCAGTGAACTCCCAGTGCGCTTGTACTCATTGTTGTTCTATTGCCTTTTGGAAGCCCTCCCACAGGAGCTGGTTGTCTTCCATTCGGCAGTGCCATATGCCGAAGACATCATCAATGTATCTCCTGTAGAGCTGCAGAACTGCAAGACTATCCATGAAGGATCGAAGCAGAATGGACTCCAGGATGGCAAGTAGATGGTGGCATAGGGTGGGGCTGGTGGGGCTCCCATTGAGTGCCCTTGAGTTGCCGCATGTGGTGTCACCAAAGTGGAAGAAGCTCCACTCATAATGAGAATCAGTGCCTTGAGGCTGCCTTGGTGGGCAGGTCTGGGAACTGTTCTTGGTTTCTTTGAGCCACTTTGAGATCTTGGTGATGGCGGTCCTCGTGGGAATGTTGGTTTACATTGAGGAAGCATCAGTGTGAAGAGTTTGCAGTGGGGTGGTAGCTGCAGGGACATGAGTCCTGTTTGAGATCGAAGGGCTTTTCAGGTAGGATCTATTGATTGAGCAACTGGCTGAAGCTTGGAGTCCAGCCAGATGCCCAGCCCCTCCAGCAGGCTGCCACTGTAGGAGACATGGGCCTGGTTTTGAGGGGTGTTTTGTGGACTTTCATTGTCAAGTAGAAATAAGCAAATGGTTCCTCATTCTTTTTCATCATAGCTTTGAGGAATTTTCTCTCCTTGTAGTGCAGGCAGTGCTGCCATAGTTCTTGAGCCACTTCAGGAGACGCTGTTTCACTTTGTCTTTGTAGTGCTCAACCTTGTGGGGGGGGATGAATTCATAGGTGGCTTATCATCAAGGTGGTCGCGGAATGCAGTTCAATGTAGGCATGCCGTTCAATTGTCGCTGGGCCCAGGTTCTTGTCACATTGGACAACCATAAGGGCATTGTTGCGTCTTAGTTGGCAGAGGGCACGCCGCTGTGGGGCAGAAGGTTGGCTCTGCCCTCTCTTCTTCCGGCTGAATTTGCTCTGGAGGAGCTGCTGAAGCGCTGAAGGCGCTGGTCTATGACTGGAGTCGGCACATATGGGCTGGTGGGAGCAGTCAGACTGCAGATGCATTCGTGGATTTATTCATCACTGCTATTGTATTGTCTGTGTTGTCCCTGCATGTGGCCAATACAGAAGGCTTTTACCCTCAGGTCCCTGGAGACCTGGTGAGGGTGTTTGTTCGATGTCATTCCAAGTGTGGGAGTATCTAGGTGTAGGAATGAACTTGTGGCCCAGGCCCAACAGTGAGTAGAGGCCTGGTGGGGGCTTAATTGTCGTGTAAGGTCGTGGTATGCAAGGTTGGTTGGCCTGGCAAAGTAGTACCAGCCGGCATATGAAGGAGTCTAATTTGTCATTGTCGTGTAGATGGAGGTCGGGGTCTGAGACGAAGCCATATGTGAGCTCTATCTCCTTGTCGATCGCCTGGAGGACCTGCTTCTCCTGGTGTTGGAGTTCTGCTCTCCTGCTGGGAGAGGAGCTTCTGGAGCGCCTCTGTTCGATCTTGTGGGCCTCTGGAGGTAGCGTTGCCTCTTCCTCCAGCTCTTCCTCCCCTTCCTCGTCCTGCCCTGCCGCCTGCGCGCCCCTTGGGCGGCCTCTGCTTTGGCTCTTGGGCGGTTGCCTCTTGGGGCGGACGGGACCTTCCTCGTTGGGTCTGCCGCCTCTGGCGGGCTTGTTGTTTGTGGGAGATTTCTTTTTGTTTGCTGGAGGCGCCTCCCTGGGCTGGGCCCCTCCTGTTGTTTTTTGAGCTGTTGTTGTTTTTTGATTGTTGTTGCGCTGTTGGTTGAGCGCTTGCGGTGACATGTTGCCAGTGGCTCTGGCAATTTGCTTTTGGGTTGTTCAGTTCCTCCTGTCCATTTTCTTGTCCAGATCCTTGATCTGTTGGAGTCAGAGGCAGTGTTCACTGTCAATTTCCATTGCAGTGTCCTCTGTGGCCTTGGTTGTGAAGGCCTTTTGTGTAGCTTCTTGAGAGCAGGGGACTTGACATTGTTTGAGGATTGGTGTGGTACTGGTCAATGGGTGTGCAAGAGACACTGGTGATGAGTCTCTCCACCTTGGCCAACTCTGGGATGGAGGGCTGCTGGGCTTTTGCTGATATGGTTGTATCTGCTCTGGAACTGGCTGCGTGCCTGCTGGTGTTGCTGGAGGGCCGCTGGTATGGGCTGAGCTCCTGTGTGTGTATTCCATGGGTTTGGTATTGTGCCAGTGCTGTTGATATTTTCCATTGCTAGTTTTAGGTAATTTGCTGGCGTCAATGGTCTTGTCCAGCTGAGACTGTGCTCTTCTTCTTGGCTTCTGTAGTCCTCGAAGGAACTCGGCACTAGCGCCTCGTGAGAGCATCGCTGGATGTGTTCCTGCGAGGTCGCTGTGGCTGGAGACAGCAGTCAGTTGGTGGATGGAATAGGGCCCCTGCAGGTGGGGAGCCGGGGTTCTGTGGCTGGAAGGCGCATGTGTTGTTGGCTGAGCAGGTGCCACGGTGGCTGAGGCTGTTGCTGATTATCAACTACTGGTAATGGATCAGGCAGGGTTGCGAGACCTTGGACTTAATGTATATTTTTCTAAGATGCTGCTAGGTCAATGCAAGTGTGTTTGAGCAACACCTCGTGGTGTGCCTCTAGGATGGTGTTGACGATTGCATGGCCATTGAGATCTCTCTGCCGCAGATGAACTTGTGGCCATTGCTGGGCAGAAGGCCTCTAGCCCGGGACTCGGCTACGGCCTTTTGACATATTGGACGTCCAGTTTGTTTCTTTCGAATGAGTGACTTGGGTTTGTTTGTAGAGTTTCAAACAGCTTGTGTGATTCTTGTTGGAGAGCTTGGGAAGCTCGCATCGCTCTCATTGCTGGGTTGCCAGCCTTCAGTTCGAATTTGATATCGATTGATTTCGGAATCCGGGACGGGGTCAATTCCCCGGTTTGTTTGTTGCCATCAATCATACCGTGAGAGTGTCCTTGTTGCGTTGGTGTGCCGCAAAGGCTTGATAAATTCCTCTCCTACTTTTTTGACGGTACGGTGGTATGCCTTATGGAGCGTCGCAGTGGTCCATGTAGGAAATTCAGGGCGGCTTGTAGTGGGCCACCGTGATTCCTTTTGTGTTGCATGGGTTGGTATGTCTGAGGTTGATGCGGATGGATCAAAGGCATGTTCGTTTCCTGCTGGGGGAGCCATCATCTTCGCGTTGGTTGTTCCTGTTTGGCGTTGGTGTTGCGGCCATTGGAGTTACGGCCGCGGCCTCTGCCGCGGCCACCATTGCGGAGGATGGGAACTCTCTCAAATTCTTGCCTCAGGCATGGTTATTTTATGTAATAGTTGTGCTTGGTTGGTTGGTTTTGGTGGTTGGTTGGTTGGTTGGTATTGTGGTAGGTTCGAAAGTTCGAAAAATCGCTCCGTTTCGTGGCTGAGCGAAGATACGTATTTTCTTAAAACCAAGGTGTTCAGTCGTGTTTCCAAGGAATTCCGAGGAACATCCAGATCGTTCCGAGTGACGTACGTTGGGTGACGTACGTGAGGTAGGTGCGTTCGCGGTTCCGAGTGACGTATAGTAGAGGTGCGCGCGAATCGATTCGAATGGATCGATCGATTCGATTCGATTTCAAAGGAGCGATATCAGAGCAAGTGTGCTACCTTGGCGTATCTTTCCTACCTCTTTTCGCTCGCTCCGTATGGGTCGATCGGACGACAATGATGCTTTGTTGGTGGTTCGAAGGGGAACCAACTGGAGATATCCCTTGAATAATGAGTGCTCTTGAGTCAGGTTCAGACCTTCAAATAGTGGTTGCGCCTTCGTGCGTGTTTCGAAGGAGGCTGAATCGCTTGTTTGGGGTGGTGTGGGACGACAAATCCTTTCTCGACACGAGAATTTGTGTGTAGGTGTGTGTAAGTTGAGTGCTGTGTGAGATGTGCTATGTTGTGTGAGATGTGTGATGTAGACACTACAAGATTTATCTACGACGAATCTACCATTGGATGTTTATTCAT